AAATCTTATAAATATTTATAAATATTTTGTAAATATTTTATAAATATTGTATGCTGTTTGGATTGTATATATAATTGTTGTAAAATTCTAATATACGATTAGTCTTGCCGTTAGTTTCTAACTGCATCTAAATGTCTAAATCAATCATATTAAAGAATTTTACAACAGAACAAAGTTACGCACACATACACATTCTCTCTCTCTCTCTCTCTCTCTCTCTCTCTCTCTCTCTCTCTCTCTCGCTCCGATTTTACTGAAGTATCTAAAAACTTAACTAGATATAGATCTGAAAATAATTTTATTGAACAATCTAAATTATTATGTAGAACGTTCAAGCAATTAAACTCATTAAAACAAACCTACTAGAAGTTTTGACATTCCAACAGTTTGGACCACGTAATTATTTTCGTGATCTAATAAAATTTATTTTCGGATCTGCATCTACAAATAAACTTTTAGATACTTCAGCAAAACCATTTTTTCTGTGTAAATAATCATTCATGCATAATAGAACGAAACGTGCATGAAGTCTAGTGAAGTGAATTAAGTTAAAAAAACTGCGTATTTTATCGCGCTTCCAGTATTTCCAGCTTAGTAGGAAAGAAATATGTCTACAAACTTAATCTTTAGAGGACAACGCACGCACAAAGAATCGCTTGAGCTTCTTTTACATTTTCCCAACCGTATCTTTCCGGATTATTTTTCCGGAGTATCTTTATTCACCTCCAGGAGGCTAATATTCGCATAGCTAAGTTATCGTCGCATAATATCTACGAAATTCGTAAAACAAATCAGTTGGCCGACGATTTGCATTACCTACGTATTTAATGTACAAAACCGTATAATTGTATAACTTCGTGTTGGCAGCTTCAAACTTCGACGTGAGCTACAATATTACGTGTCTCGATTTGGCAGAAGTTAATAGCCGTCGAGCGAAGATGATTTAGGTTTAAATCGGTAAACTGTATAAGGTAGATAGCATAATGACATATCTCATTATAAAAATAATATATGATTTTGAAAAAAATCAATTTGTGCTAAGAATTGATTTTTAAGAATAACTGAAAGTCAATGGAACAGATATTTTTTTATTCATTATTAAGTATACAAATTGTAAAGTAATTTTTAAAGCGTAGAAAGTAAGAAAAAAAAAGGAAACTTAATTTTCTTTTCAATTTTACGGCCATTAGTGATTTAATGTTTATAAACTAGAAATCGATTTTCTCTTAACGACTGTTTGAGAGAGAAAAAATGATTCGTCATAACTTTCTAATGTTTGACATTAAATAACTTCGGGAGTTAATAAACCAAATTAAAAATCTATTAATTTAAAGTGGAATTCAACTGAAATTAAAGGAAGAATATAAAGTTTCGTCAATTTATGTTCTCTAGTTGACAAAAAGCAATTTACTACTTCCGATCGCTAACAACGCAAAAGCTATTAAATTCTCGACATTGTGTTATGAGAATTCTTGTCTCTAGTTTACTCAAAGAATCCATCATTAGCGCGAGAAGCTATATAAAATTAAGGGGATAAAGTTTGTGTGTGGGACTTTTATTTAATGTTATCATATCAAGATACCTACGTAGATCTAACGCAGGATTAATTACAATCTTTTGTTCTCATTAACTAAATCTTTTTACGAATGTATCGTCTAAACAATTCGTCATAGCAGACCTTTTTCATCCCTTCTTAACAATCTGTGTAATCTTACAGGCGCGGATGAAGGGATCAAGATTAATTATATTAGCTAAAAATAGCGGAGGCTAACAATAAGTAGGGTTGGCAAGCCTATTACTCCGCTGAGTTCGAGACTATCGGTCTTTGTCACTTGCTCTAGCTGACCTATCGACCTCGATCTTCGAACTGACACTTCATCATGGAAACTTATAAACCTCCTTCTCGTTCAGCTATAAGATCAGCGATAAAATCAGATTGGGGCGAGTATCTCTGAACCAAATGGAAACGTTTGAATTTAGTGAATTGCTGAGTAATTTGTCAGACTTGGGTTATTCATTTGATTTATGTGCCCATAAATTAAATGCCTGTAAATAAAACGTCAGTAAAAATATAGAATTTTATACTTTGTCGAATAGTAGAGACTGTAATATTCAAATATATATACCTATGATGAAAGATTTGAGAAGTTCCAAATGTCAAGACACGGACTGAGCGAAAGTCACAGTGCCAAGAAATAAAAATGCCAAATAAAGCTACTTTTTCAAATTATTATGCAAATTATTATTTGGAAAAAGATGAATTATCTTGTGCTCATTTCTCCAATTCGTGATATCATAAAGATGTTCTTGTAAGAATGAATGGCAGCTTTCTGGAGGGCTATCAGTTGCGTAAAGTATATTATTCTGTTGATCTGCCCGCATCTCGTGACCGTCTCGTATTCAAGCACATGCATGGTAGAGTGAATCATTTGGCGTTATCCCGTCATGCGCCATTCGGCTATGCGAATTCGAGTATCTCTGACGAACATTGCGCGTTCTCGAGGAAATTCCGCGAGTTCCGTTTCAGAGAAGCGCTATCCCACACACAAGAGCTCGTTACCGCAGTATAAATAGATTTCTTCGCCTCGTAGCGGATTTTAGAGTATGTATAGCAGCCTCTCTCTCTCTCTCTCTCTCTCTCTCTCTTCGTTCGTTAAACGATCTCTCGAGGCTATCACATGTGCTGACCTGGATGTTTATTCGGTTCATCGATGCGGCCAAATATCGTTGCCGCCTGGTCTGGCAATCCGCGACAGAAATGCAATGGATTCAATGAAGCGGCATTAATCATTTCGTAAACAAAAACCGGTGCCATGCTAATATAGCGACGGCTGTCGACTTCTGTTTTTAGCTGGCTGTTTAAAAGTTAAACGCTGCATCTCTGCCCGAAATAGTGAAAACGATAACCTATCTCCGTGGGCGATAGCAATTAAAATAAGATCGATAAAGATAATTGTAACATTAGTGAGACTAAATGCAGATTGCGCGATATTTTTCAGTAATGGAATCAATAACTATCAGTTTTTTATTTAAAAAATGACTGTAAATCATCTTCATATGTTGAATAAGTAACAGATTTGAATATACTTCAAGATGTTTAGAAATTACTAAGTATCATTTTTAATGATTTCAAAATATGACGAAGTAAACTTATTGATTAACATTTTAATATTAATTAATTAACTGTCACATTTGTATTGAATTTATCCTTTTTGAAGAGCAGTATATAATTGCCTTTTATTTCTTCAAACGATAGCATCATTGAGAGTCTCATTAACAGCTTTATATAAGATATTCCAACGTCAAAATCATTCTAATTAGCTCGCGCACGAAGATGTAAAGAAAATAATAATATACATAAACAGGGAAAAATCTAATTTTTTCGCAGTTCCAATCATATTTTCTTTCAAACTATAAGATTAATCTCTGTTGAAAATTATTTTAGGAAAATCTTATCAGGTTTTCTCTCAAAAAAAATTTGATAAGAATAAAGGAATCCGGAAATCATAGAATAATATGTCAGAATGCGTGTCAGGAAAACGTGCGAAAAAACAGTTCTGATATTATAGCCGATCACTGACTTTATTCGCGACTCATCGTACGCGACTCATAATACAAAAACCGAGACAGTATAACAACAGTTCGGTATGCGATGAATCTCGACCGAGTATAAAGTGCGAAAAGTATTCGACAAAGAGCGAGAAGAGATCATCAGTTTAGTATTTGTTAACGCATATTTAAAGAGGATCGATGAAGATAAGACCATGAGATTTGCTCTAGAACACTCGCGTGACACTGGGTGATCGAGTTCATCGAACCTACGAGTCTCAAGGCATCAAGGTTATACCCTTAGAGTCACGAAGGCTATTACATTTTAGTCTGTACCATCGGACGAGTCGATCGCCGGCCGGTTGATCGCAATGCAATTCGGCTGACTGGAATTCCACATCCTTTGGAATTCACGCGCTTTCAAAGATAATCCTGATCATTCCCTAATCTTTTTCTAATGTCGCGTATTATGTGGAACACGATGGTACGATGGTAATATATCTAGAAAAGGACATGGGTCATATTTTAATAAAGGAAGGAGCCTGGTTGCTACGGTAACTGCGAAACGAACAGAGCACGCGGCCAGCTAGCCAGCTACGCAGGCAGACAGGCAGGATATTGATTCACCCCACCTGAATTCAGGTCAACCCCTGACTAAACGCCGTTTCGCTGTACAACGCGGACTCCTCCATTTCTATCGCGTTCATGCCATCTCACCTTTTTTTCTTTCATAATTAATCCTCCTCTCTCCCTTATTAGAAACGTGTACTAAGCCGAGAGATGTTTTGTTATTGGATACGATTTATCCAGGTAACTAGGTATTTAAAGACCTTCGCTCGCATCCCTCGTCCGCCCATGCGCTATACAGTTCTCGCAATGCGCTCTCTCGA